TGTGAAGAGTGTCTTTCTGTGTTGTCTGTGTACTCTTACAAGTTCACCTTGTGTATTGAATTGCCAGTAGTCTCCTGCATAACCTGTGTCTGCAGGACCTTGTGGTGTCAATGTTGTGGTCGGTGCTATCATGCCGATCTGTCCTTGGTCCGTGTTGTGTATCTGTAGCTTTGTTCCTTTTGGCAATGCTGTGGTTTCTGCTTGTAGGAAGAACAAGCCGTTTCTGCTCTCCAGTGTGCTGTTGAATCCTTTGATGTGATGTAGCTTTGGATTGTCATCCAATGTAAGTCGGAAACCTTGTTCTACCAGCCTTGTAACTGAAAGAATCGGCTGTTTAACCTCACAAACGTAAAATGGTATGACAATTTGTTGTCCGCTGTGATTTGTCATGCAGACCCATCTGTACCCAGAAAGCTCGATGTGCTGGTTGGTCACTGTTCTGAGTTGTGGTCCTGTTCCATGTGCAAGCTGGTGTAGTGGAAAGTGTGGTGCAAACCATGGTGGGCATACATGTGTAGCCGCACCGCTGTCAATCATAAGACTGACCCACTTGTTGTCTTCTGAGTGTTGTTGTGCTGTGTCCTGTGAGGGGGCTGCGGATCGACTCATCCGCGGGCAAACCATGGAGCAGAGACAGGTGGCGGCGCGCGTGGCGCACATGCCGCCAACACAGGCCTTGGCATCCTTGTTGGCAGAAGGTGCTGCGCGAGATACTTTGCCCAGGGCAAAGACCATAGAAGCAGCAAGGAGGCGCTTGAAGCAAGCGCGCAGCAAGGCTCGAGGAGATCCGCGAGCCCGCTGCTCCCCTACAGTTCTGCAGCAGGTGGTGGACGGCCGCAACGCGTCCAACTCCGGCGTGATCTACAAGGCCTTGAGGACAGATGATGCCGCTGCGTGCGTCTTGGGGTGCGTCTTTGCTTTGAACGAGGAGATGGACGCCGTGAAGCAGTGGATTCAAGGTGGCGGAATCTTGGTGTGGTCGGAAGACGCCACCTACAAGCTCAACTGCTCCAACTGGTGCTTGACAAGCGCGGCGTGCCCGGTCTTGCACTTGGTGGACGGGCTTTGGAAGACCTCTGAGTTGGCCATAGGCCACGCTTGGACACCGAAAGAGAACACGGCGTTTTGTGGGGAAATCAAGGAGGCAATCTTGCAGCTGTACGAGGAGAAAGGGCTGGTTCTCCGCAGACATTTGCAGGCGGGGTTCTATGACAACTCTGCTGCGCAGCGCAGTGCTCACGGCCGCATTTTCCCAGACGTGCCCTATCTCAGGGACTTGAGGCATCAGATTGCTGCTTGCCGACGCCGGAAAGGGCCCTTGTCGCGTGCTGTCGCTGCATGGGTGTACGCTTCTGCCTTCTACCCGCCTGTGGTCTTTGACATTGCAGCGCAGGCCCTGCTGGATCGCTGCAACTGCAGGAGGAGTTCAGCTGGATGTCCTACCTCACTGAATTTGCCTTGGCGGGGCAGGACAGCAGGGCTACAGTTGCTTTGGTGGTAGATCGGGTCCTGCATTTGTAGTGGCTGCGCAAGGGTCAGCGGTCAACCTGTTCCTGGAATTGTAACCTGCTCGTGTCAATCCGGCTGCAGATATGCTTTTCGGCCGGCGGTCGTCTGGTTTCAGCTAGAAGTGTAATTTGTGCGTGGGGGGGGGGGGGGAGGCTTCTTTGTTTTAGGTCACTCCTTGAGGCACACTCGCAAACCTTGCAGGACAAGAAGCAATGGCGTGCAGAGTGGCAGTGCTGTCCCGCTCTTGCACGGCCGGGCTGCACACCTGGCTCAGTGGGACAGTCCAAGGAGTCGCAGTGGGCAGCCCTGAAAAGGGTGACGGGGACTTTGGCTCACACTGACTTGGGCACTGCGGCTCCTGAGGCGGGCTTGGGCCAAAATCATCGAGAGCTCTTGCCTGTCAAAGCCTCGTCTGCCAATGTCACACGTGCTCCAAACACGGCTTGGCCAGATTCTCCAGAGCTTGTATTGCACCTATCCAAACCCTGCCAGCTAACAAGGGCAGTCCAAACAGATGCTTCATTTTTTCGTCGACGTAGGAGTTAGAGCTGACGCAAGCCCTAAGAATGGTTAGGAGCACGCCTCAGGTGGAGCTGGCGTTGCGCACGCTGCATTGCGAGCGCACGGCCAGGGCTGGCGGAGACCTGGTTTCCGCCTTGCGCTGCGCTCCTGATCGGCCTGCGCACAAGCTGCTTTCAGGCGAGTCGCGCCCGACCTCTCGCACTGAGGACCCTCTGAAATCATTTGGCTGTTGTCTTTTTCTGTCTCTGTGGCTGTGGCTCTGTCTGTGTGTGTGTGTCTGCGCCGTTGTATCTTTGTTTGTCGCTGTGTTTGTCACAGTGTGACACTTCCGCCTAAGTCTTTATTTTTGGATTCCAGCGGCAGGACAGTGTGGGCGACCAGCAGTGGGCAAAGTCGGCGTGGCAGTATGCTCGTCACGCCCCGTTCAACTTTGTCCTCGTGGAGCGCCAGATCGAGGACATGGACAGGCACTGGGTCATGTGGAAGTTTGATCCCCAGCTTGCGGTGGACAAGCGCACGGCCGAGTCATTTGTTGCCTTGATGACAGCAGACAATCGGCAAGCAGGTCTTCGTGCAGCCAAGACGCTGAAGATACAAAAGGATGACGGAAGTATCTCTTTGTCAACGCTGGGCGACATTCTGAAGGAGCTCACTCTGGTCAGTCGACCGCGCACGGAGCGCATTCAGAAGGAGGATTGCTGGGGCCTGCCTTACATCTGTAGCTGCAGCACATTTGCCTGTCGCGCCCAGTGCGAACACGAGCTCTATGTCCAATGGCTGGAAGGCACGGGCAAGGTGCAGTTTCGGCAGCTGGCGGATTTTACAAAGGCAGAGGCAGCGCCCAAATCTGCGCTGGGGGGCGGGGCCGGTGGCAGGGCGCCAGCCGGTGGCAGGCCGCCTGCCGTGCCGGGTGCCTGGGACACCATTCGAGCAGTGCAGGAGAAGAAGGAGGCTGCCATGGCGAAGGCGGCAGCGAGGAAGAGGAAAAAAGAAGCGACCGCTGAGGATGCAATTTGGACCCCGCGCAAGTCGCCCAAGCTTGCCGCTGTGGAGCTAGGCTCTACCAGCATCCTGAGATGGGTGCTGCCAATGGATCCGCCATTTGTGGTGGTTGTGGTAATGCTAGTTGTTGCATGTGTGTCTGATCCTGGTGGTACCAGTTGTTGTCATAGTGTGACTGACTGTACCAGTCATCTTTCTGGTCACCATGGTGTCGAACTTGCCCGTATCGCAGTTGTAGATCGCCACTCTGCATTGTTTGGCCATGTGTCCTGGTTGTCCACATCTGTAGCAAACATTTGTTGCTTGCTTTCCTTTTGATCCTTTTCCTCCTTGTTGGTTGTTGTAGTATCCTTTTCCTTTCCCTTTGTTGTTGTATCCTTTTCCTTTGGAGTATCCTTGTTGTCCTTTGAAAGGATTTCCTTGTCCAACCGGTTGTTGATTGTACTTACCTTTTCCTCCTTTGTAGTTGTTGTATCCGAAGTTGTTGCCGTAGCCGCCGTAGCCTTTCCCTTTGTTGTGTTTTCCTTTGCCTTTGTGCTTGCCCTTCTTTCCTTTTCCTTTGTTGTACCATGTTGCTCCTATGTCCATTGGTGCCGGTCCTTGATTGCTGTTGCTGCCTGATGTGATTGACTGTAGTCTGGTGAATGACGCTGTTGCTCTGTAGTACTCGATCACCATCGATCTGATCTGTGCGTATGTTGTGATGTTTCCTGCTTGTAGCTGCAAATGCTGCTGTAGTGGTCCTTTTGTTTCATTGAGTAGCACTGCGATTTTGATTGCATCTGGTAGTAGTGTGTTGTTGTCTTGTTCGTACCTTGAGAGTTGGAACTCCCATGTTGTAAAGCTCTCTTCGAACTTCTGTTCATCGAGTTGTGGTTTGAGCAGCTTTGTAAGGTATCCAATGCTCCTTGTACTAAGAGGTATGGAGTACCTTGCATGTATAAGCCGCCATGTTTCGAATCCGTTGCCTTGCATGTTTTGTCTGCAGATTGTGGATGCTGGTCCATCGCATGTGCTCACTAGGATATAGTGCAAGTTGTTGCTCAGTTGTATCCATTGCTCTGCAACTTGTTGTGAAGGTGCTGCATTCTCAAGTTGGTCATTTGTAACTGCTCCTGTTGATTGCTCTGACTGTCTAAGCAGTCTGTTGTAGTCTGGGTCTTGTAGTCCCAGGTATGCTGTCATCTTGTACTTCCATTCTTCGAAGGTGTTGTATTCGCCATTGAAGCGTGGTGGTGATATCTTGTACTTGTGGGTTCCTTCTAGCTGCTGCTGTTGTGGTTGCTGATCTTGTTGTTGTTGTGCCATGTTACTCACTACTGTGTACCTTAAGCTGTGAGTGCGTGTTGGAGCTCACCCTGGGTAGTGTGGTAGGATCGTGTACCAGGGATCACTGCTCCGCTACCATGTTAAAGTTGGATTGATGTTGTGAATACCTGAAGACCTGTGTGTGACAGCGCGGCACTGTTGTTTCCAGGTGGCAAGCTGTAGCTCTACTGTATGTAGGCTCAAGGCCTTGATCATACAGATGTGCAAGGGCATGTACAAGTGAGGATGTGTATTAACAATGCAAGCAAGGTGATGGATGAGGTTTTGGGAATGAATCGTTTCGGGATCCGCTTAAAGGCACCCACAATTGATGGTTGATAGGGCGCATTCCTTCATTCCCTGTTGAGAACGACCCGTGTTTCATGTAATACGACCCGTGATTCCATGGTGCCCCAGCTGTCTCGAGTAATGTTGAGGCCTGATTCGTTTATTATTCAGTGAGAAGTCCCCTTTTTTGTGGGGAATCTTTTCTTCCAGGGCCCCCCTAATTGATAGCTTACTTCCTGAGTTCATGGACTCTCTTAACTTGTTAGACCATTTTAGTGGCAAATAAAGGGTTGGGTGACTTTTTTTACAGGCCAATCCACTCGATCAGAAGGGATCAAGAACTGGAGGGTTCAACTTTCCCTTTTTCTGAGGTGGGGACACCGAGATTCTGCCTTGCAAGACTCTCAAGGAGCAGGGCGTGTCCAATGCCTCCACAGTGTCCTATGTCTTTGTCCCTGCAGACTTGCGGCCCGGCAATTGATCAAGGGCTCGGCGACGGTGTTGGATGTGATGTTTATTGTAGGTTCCTATGGTTGTCAGGGGCTTTCCACAGAGGGGACCCCATGGGAATGGTAGCCAGCCCTGTGCCACCTACCACCACGGCAAGAGCCAGCCGGTGGGCGGAAGCTCCAAAGAATATGAGAACTATAGTGGTCTTTATCCTTGTGTTTCTGTCTTTTTCTTCTCTTTCTCTGTCTTGTCTTTCTCTTTTTCTTTCTTGTCGTCTTTATATTTGTCGTCTTTGTCTTTCTTCTTTCCTTGTTGCTTTCCTTCTTTGTTTCTTTCTTTCTTTGTTTCTTTCTTTCTTTCTTTCTTTCTTCATTTCTTTCTTTCTTTCTTTCTTTCTTTCTTTCTTTCTTTCTTTCTTTCTTTCTTTCTTTCTTGTGTTTTCCTTTCTTTCTTTCCCTCTTTCGTTCTTTCCTTTCTGGATTTCTTTCGTTCCCCCTCTCTCTCTCTCTCTCTCTCTCTCTCTCTTTATTGTTTTCTTTCTTTCTTTTTTTCCTTTCTTTTTTTCTTCTTTCTTTTTTTGCTTTCTTCGTTCGTTTGTTCGTTCGTTCGTTCGTGCGTTCTTTCTTTTCTCGTTCTCTCTCTCTCTCTCTCTCTCTCTCTCTCTCTCTCTCTCTCTTTCTCGATTGCCGAAGTTGGGCGCTGCAGCAAAGACTCCAGCCAAGCTCCTTGCTCCTGATGTGTGCAGTCATCTACTGTATCTATCCATGACTTTAGCTTGCTTTTTTTCTTCCCTTGTTCTGATCTCGCTTTCTATATGTCTATTTACTTTTTTATGTGTTGTCCGTCTTCTCTCTATCTACTCTTCTATCTGCCTACCTACCTATCTATCCATGTATGTTTCTATCTGTTTGTCTGCTTATCCATCTATCTGTCCTTATACGGGTTTGTCTTTATGTCTGCCTACCTACCTGCCCGCCTATCTGTCTATCTGTCTATCTGTCTATTTGTCTATCTATCTACCTACCTACCTACCTATCTATCTGTCTGTCTATTTATCTATCTATCTATTTATCTATCTATTTATTTATCTATCTATCTATTTATCTATCTATCTATCTATCTACATTCATCTATCTATCACTTCTTTTTGCCAACCTGTTGCTTTTCTATCTAAACTCGCTTTCTAATTTGTCTATCTGTCTATCTATCTATCCGTCTATTTGTCGTCTATCTGTCTATCTATCTACCCCTCTATTCTATCGAGCTCATCCGCACGTCTACCTTTCGACCTATTTCTATCTTTTGAACCTTGCAAACAGCACTGCGCCACTGCGCCCGTCGCGTAATCTGTGCCTGGCCTTGCGAAAGTTCTGCGCCTGCCACGAAATCTGTGCTTGGCCTTCCGAAAGTCTGAGGTTGGTTCCCAGCAAGTCGGTTCTCAAAGGAAGTCTAAAATAAACTTCACTTCCGTGGTACGGCAACTAATTGAAAGCTAGCTCTTCGACAAGAAAAGAATGAGCACGCGCGAACAGTCTGCTCGGATGCTTGAAAGTTAGCCGGATCGCGCTACCTGGTCGGAGCATGTTCGGAGCGTGTTCGGAGCAGGCTCGGAGCGATCTCGGAGCTGGGCCCATAGGCACGGACGCGCACGTTTTCGCAAGGTGAGGTGCGGATTTCGTGGCAAGCGCAGCGCTGCAAGCGCAGCACTTTCCAAGGTGAGGTACAAGTTTCGGCGCAGCAGATTTGCGAGGTGCGGCACGGCCTTCGTGGCAGCACAGCACGCAGGCTTCTTGAAGAGTCTGAGCAGGGAGAGGGTTTGGATCACTCTGTGATTGTCAGCAGTTTTAGCTTGCCATTTGGTGATGAATGTACGGGAAACACCCGCAATGGTGTTGGTGTCCAGCAAGGCGTACCCAATTGAAATTCATTCCCAGTCTACGTCCCGCAGTGGTGCCCTTTTCACCCTTTTTTGGGGGAGGGTTCCCCTGCTAAAATAGACTACAGAAAAAAGGGTGCCCTTTTTCAACCTCTTTGTTGGAGGACCTAGCAGTTGCGCCCCGACCTCTCCCACTTTTGGCCCCAGGTGGCATATCTGTGACGCGTTGAGCAGAGGCAAGGCTGTCAACGCGGAGGGTGCCTTGGCACGGTGAACCCGCCGAGGGGGTGGGGAATGAGGGGGGTGCCAAAACTGGTGGGTATGGGTCAAAAACACACCACTAAGGGGACCGCAGGTTTAGTCCATTTACCAGGGTTCCATTTTGCATACGCACTTCTGACCCATAGCCAAGTGGCGTTCCTTTTTGATGTCCCTTTGAATCAACCCGACAGAAAGCTACCGCCGAGAAAGATCCATTATATGCACACACACACACATGGGTTAAGGGAACGTTCTCCACGTCGGCATTTGCCACGGGGGCCAGTAAGACTGCACTGCTCCCTGTGGTTGATTTCCTTCAAGCACCAAAGAAAAGGGATTCTTGATGCTAGGCCCCCCCCCCGATTTTAGTGACGTGCTTGTCCAAACGGGGAAAGCCCTCAACACCCCCCTATGCTGTCCACCAAACGGTCCACCAAAAGTTCATACTCACACATACACACACACAGGATTTCACCAACAACTTCTATCTGGGGTGTTCAACAAAGTTCGTCCCCTCAAAATGCATGGTTTCCTACTGGTTCTGTGAAGGCAACGGGAATCCCTGATTATTTGGAACACCTGCAGTTCTTGAGTTATTAGTTTTTGCGGCAAAACCTTAAAATTTGGTGGCGGACATGTATCCCCACGTTTCTTGCTCACGATCTGCATGGTTGCATGATGTTCACCAAAGGCTCCATTTCTAATTAACGTCATACTCACATTCAGGAGTTCAAACATGTATTTTAGGGTAACCCTCTGCTGGGACCGGCGCCTGATCAAGGGACGAGTTCTGGAGGTGTGGAGGCTAACATACCACCAAGCCTTCCCCCCCCCTTTGCCGCTGGTCAGGCGCGCCAAACGTCCGCCCGAGGCATCACTGTGCTGCACTGCGACGACTCGGCGAACTTGGCGAAAAGTGCCCTGGACCACGTGGAGCACCTCAGCTTCGGCTGGGCCATGAACCGGAGCCTGCGCAAGGCGGGCGAGATTTCTCAAGGCTGCCTATGGTCCGTCGAAAAGCGGTTTGCCACGGACATGGGGAAATTTGGGTGAGTCCCCCTGAGAAGGAATGGGTTCCTCCGATATGCCAGGAAACCCAATAGCTCGTGGTTGACCATGATGGCTTTGGCCAGGTTTGCCATTGAAACCATCCAACCTATACTTGAAGTTTAGGAACTGTTTGGGGGGGGGGAAATGGAAACTCTGCGTATGCTCGTCTCCCCCCCCCCCCAAGCCTCAGTTTGGTGAGCAACCCTGCCACCATAGACAGCTGTTCATGGTTGGTGTGCGATTTTTGTCCCATGCAATGAGAGCCTTACATGCTTTACAGGGAAGTGAAAGGACTTGTTCAGGAGCGCCCTATCGGAGGATTTCTTGAGTCCTTGCAAACAGTCGCATATAGGTATATGTATATGTATATGACATGTATATGTATGTGATTTGGTGTATGTACATATATACATGAATGAGCTGGTAGTACGCATATGAACGATGCGTCTTTTCTTTGTTTCTTTTGCGATTATACGCTTACGCTTGTATGTATGATCTCAAAACGCAGCCCTTTTCTGTTTCGTTTTAGGGCGTTTTTTTGGGGCTTCGTCTTGGTCGCGTTCCGGTGTCCGATCAGAAGGCCCCATACAAGGCGTCAGTGCAGAATGTTCAGAACAGTGCGGGGAGGATGGGTGGGGGTGGGGGTGGTTTGAATCGCTCAGTGAGTCTCCTTGTGCAACACGCGTCCATTTGCCCGGTCAGCGCATCGCCAGACTTAGCTCTGTTTGCCCTTCGCCTGGGGTCTTCTCCAAAGCTATTGTACTTTTTAGGGTAGACAACGTTTCGACGATAGTCAGAACATATTATTTTCAGTGTGGCCCAGATGTGGGACAAGGCTAGGGGCTTGTGCCACGTTGATCCTCAAACTGCCTAAAGTTTCGTCAGGTTTTCCATTGGTGAAGCATCTAAAAGCCAGGGGCATACCCCCAAGCCAGCTGGCCACACGTTTTGCCCCGTTTTACGGGCGCAGGTGTGTCTGCCCTCCTTGCAGAGCCTCACCTTGGGCCACGACTTCAACCAGAGCTTGGCGGGGCTTCGCCTGCCCGAAACCCTGCAGAGCCTCACCTTCGGAGATTGCTTCGACCAGAGCCTGGACCAGGCGAAAATGCTCCAAGGGTTTTGGGTGGACGTTCCTGGTTCCCAGCTATGCGGTCCCTCAGGTTTTTAGATCTAGGGCTTTTTTCAGGCTTCGATACGTGGAAGGGAGTGTTTAGTGCTTGGATTTCCGAAGAAAACCCGCGAAAAGCGAAACTGGAGGAGCTGAGGACAGCCCAGATTCGGCTGGGAGCAAAACCGACAAAGTCCAAAGGCCGTTTAGACTGAAGGCAATGCTCCAAGGTTTCGTTCCAATGGTTTTGGTTTCTCAAAAAGGGCCACTTCGCCACACAAAAGAGGGTGGACCCTGGCTTGATGGTCCCGAAAACCACACCGGCAAGACAAGAAACACTGCGAGAGCCTTGTCCATTCCCGCGAGGGCGTGCTGATTTTTGTTTTTCCATTGAATCCCGAGCTTTTGTCGGACAGCTGCAAGACAACAAGTTGACTGGAACGACAGGCCGCGTGAACCACTGAACTGTGCTATCAGCGATGCAACAGCAGACTTTTCTTTCGCATCCGCTCATCATTGCTGACAGCGATCATTTCTTCATGACAACTTTGGCTGTTGGTTGGTCTGCCTTTGGGGCTTCCGCCCCCCTGAATTTCGGGGCTTCCCCCGTTTTCTTTGCCGCCGGCTTTCTTTTGACTCCCTTTTGCGGGAGTCACTTGGCTGTGGGTCAAAACCAATGGTACCATTTTGGGGTGCACCACCCATTTTAGAACCTATTTTAGTGGGGATTGGTTGATGTTCACTGATACGATTTGGATTTTGACCCATGGCCACTTGGGTTCCGGTATTCAGGTGGACTTCCCCAAAGAGCTGCAGAGCCTGAACTTTGGGGACTGCTTCAACCAGAGCCTGGCGAAGGTGAGGCTGCCGGGCCTGCGGATCCTGACCTTCGGCTACTGCTTCTTGGCGAATGGCGGTGACTGACCTTCCCCCAATTGGGAGCCGTTGAAACGGGCCTCAGAAAGGTTTTGATTGGGAGCCGTTGAAACGGGCACTGGGCTCGCTGAAATGTTGGCTCTATCGCTGGGATCTTTGAGCCAGGTTTCTGCCAGAGCCTCGTAGAGGTGGACCTGAGCAGCCTGGAGCATCTCATTTTGGGGGACGTGTACAACGAGCCCCTGGACCAGGCGCTTGACTTGGCTCCTGGCCCTCCTGGTCCTGCGGTTTTCTCTTTCAGCTTAGTGGGTTTCGCGGGTTTTTCAGTCTTTTGGCAGGGGATCGGATTGGACAGCCAAGAAGTGAGCACCCAAAATTGAACCACACTGAATGTCTCCGCAGGTAGCTCTGGGACACCCTGGTACGTGGGTTGTGGCAAAGCCTTTTATGTTTACAACCTTCGTAGAGTCAGTGGGTTTCGGGCGCTCAAGTGGAGATGGGAACTGGGGACGTTTGTGTTGGTTGGGACGAGAAGCCCTTGAATTCTTGAACCGCATGGCCATGAATTCCGACGGGGAACTCCCTTAAATGTGGTTGGTGGACGTCAATTCCCATCTATGTCATGTCCACCAAGGGTCTCCAAATAAAAGATAACCTCCACAAATGAGTGACTTGGTCCCTCTTGAGGGTCGCTTTGATGTCTCGGCCCGGTTGACTCAGCCCAACCCCAGTGAAAGCCAGGTGCACTTGCCTCGCCTGGTGGGCCTGAACCTTGGCCTCCACTTCGACCAGGGGCTGCAGGGGGTGGTTTTGCCCGAAGGCGCACTGGGTGCGCGCCTGCAACCGCGCACGTGCGCGGGTGGGGTGGGGTGGGGTGGGGGGGGGGGACATTTTTCGACTTGGGAACTCGGCGTTGGTGGCTTCTTTGCAGTAGCCGTGTATGAAACTTTGAGGGGGATCAACAGAAACTTGCTGAACTGCAGGGAGATCGAGGTAGGCGATGTCACTGCTTGCTGCAGACAGCAAGACGAGGTTTAGTTTCGCTCATAGCGTACTGATGCAGCACCAAGGAGGAGCCAGAGTTTGCCTGCGCGCAACAGCAATAACGCTTTCCCAGCCGAGCTTGTTCCTTGCATCATGGTTCTCCAGGGCAAAAGGAGCCTTCTCACCCTCGCCAGCAGCAAAATATTGGGAGGGTGCGCGGGAAGCATGGGATCAGCGCAGCTTACCATTTGAAGCTGAGAACGGCGTTCTCCCTCCCCGATCTTCGGCTTGCCTCAATACATCTCTCTGGGTCTGTCGCCCTGTTTCCGCACGCAGGGCTTGGAACCCCTAAGACGGCCCCAGCCAACCGGCGGTCGCTTGCCGCAAGGCTTGCAGCACCTCTGCTTTGGCTGGGCATATTCACAGAGCCTGGCCGGCGTCAAGCTTCCGACAGGCGCCGGGCGAGGGCTTTTCAGGGAGGGGGGGTTTGTCACCAGCCACCAGAAGTGCAGAAAGCATAAGTGCGCCTTTGTCGTTGAAAAGTAAGCAATGATCCACATCAACCTTGCTTCCATTTTTCACAGGGGTCGCCTGGCGCGGCTGATGCCACTCTTTTTCTTGAAACGGGCTGACGAAGATTTGGACGTGCGCATTGTCCTGGCAGGCCCCTGGCAACACACAAACAAGCAGCCATGATGCCAGAGGAACCCGGTGTCCACGGTGACTTGGTGTGAGGGGAGATCGTGAAAACATGCACCTGGCCCCGCAACCCGCAAACCAAAGCACTGGAAAAACATGTCACCAAGGCCTTGGCCGTTGTCCGGGATTGCAAGGACGGCCACACGCGCAAACCTGGCGAGACAACTCAAGCTCAACCAGCATGAACTTGAAAATGACCGGCCTCGGTTCATCCTGCCCTTCATCGTCGCAGGCCTCCTGTCGCTGTCCTTCGGAGACTTTGGGGAGATGCTGACGGTGGAACTCCCCGAAAACCTCCAGTGTCTGACCATGGGCAAGGTCTCCGTTGAGGCTCGGCTTTGGCAAAGTTTGTTTTTTCCCCGCCCGAGGTCGATTTCCGATTTCCCGATTCGAGCTCGACCAAGGTTGGTGGGTGGCCGGTTTTGACAGCTTGCATTACTTGGGGGTGAGTGGCTCCAAGTTATGTCACGGGAGAGCTTGCTTGGTAGTGAGTGACTTGAGTTATCTTGGTGGTTCTCAGCCATCCCCTTATGTTTTTTGCTTCTTAGTGTTTAGTGGGGATTCCATTTAACCCACTAAAAGCCCAGTTATGTCTCTGTCCAATCAATCGGTCCAAGCAAGACATCTACCCATATCAACCCACATAGTGCCCAACAATGGTCTTGGAGGTATACACCTTCGTTTGTGCCCAGACCTACACCACGTCAGGTATGTTCATGTATGTAGATGAACACCTGTCTTGTGCCGTACAAGTAGACGCGTGAACCTCTATGACCGTACAAACTTATACCTAATACCTGGGGTACCAACTGTACCCGTTGGCACGGTGGGTTGGTGTCCCATTTGGCTTCAAGGGTTTCAAATCTCCAAACCATCGTTCCACCACCGGGCAGCTTGTGGTAGATTCCAAAAGTTTTTAACTCGTTCCCCTTACATGTCGGACATTGCATGGCATCCTGTTTGTCCTTACTTGCCTGGATCTTCAAGCTTCAATTCCTTGGGTGGAGCGTTAGAACCACCAGAACAAAGTTGAAGGGAACAGCATCTCTACCATGCAGGGCCAGGGCAACTAGTAAAGCATATATATATATATATATCATTTGCAAATTTAGTTCGTGAAGCAATCAAATAGCCTCCTGTCGACTATGGCATCTCACAAAGACCCGGAACCTCCCAGGAAAAGGTGATCTTCCAGAGGGGGGGGATAGCTCAGGCGCTGCAGGGGCTGGAGCTGCCGCAAAGCTTGCGGAGCCTCTGCACCGAGGAGCGCTGCGCTGGCCGTTTTTTCGTTCTCGTCTCGGCTTTCCTCGAACAGCGGGAAATGGGGTTTGATGAAAAAAGGTCTGTGATAGGTGGGGTGAGCATTAGGGAATCCAAAAATCATACGACATTCACCACTAGATGGCAAAACCCACCCATTGTCTTTCTGGGGCCGCACGGAATATTGATCAACCCCCCCAAAACTGGGAAAATCATTGTTTTCGACCCCAAGGCCCGGGCGTCCCGGAGTTTTGTTCGATCCCAAGTTTGTCGAGCCCAAATTCGCGGGCCTCGAGGACATAGACCTGGGGGTTTTGAAGCTGAAGGGCTTGCAGAGTCTGAGCTTGGGGCGGCCCGGCGCTTCGCCTGGGGGGTGGGGTGGTTTGGAGTGGTCAACGGGAGGTTGGTGGTTGGTGGTGGTTGGTGATTGGTAATGGTGAGATCGTTGGGAGATTGGTGGTGGTTGGTGGTGGTATCGTTGGGAGATTGGTGGTGGTTGGTGGTGGTTGGTGGTGGTTGGTGGTGGTTGGTGGTGCTGGTTCCGGTGGGTCGGAGTGGTCCCTGGATGCCACAAGGAGCAGAATATGCTCGGTGCATTTTTCAGAACGATGCTGGTACGGCGTCATTGCAGCTGTTTGTTTTCATCTTGTCCTGACTGAATCCGAAATATTGCATCTGAATCCCAAAATTCTTGAGTTTGGCTAGTCTAACTGTCCTCTCGCTTGAGCTGGCCTCTGACCTTGACGGGTGCTGGCTGGATGTTGCTCGGATTCTTTTCGTCCTCCCTGCCCCGCCTGTTTTCTTAATGAGGGGAGCCGATTCGAAAAGCAAGTATCAGCTGCTCTCTGCAACACGATCGCTGGTGCCACTACAGCCTTTCCAATTGCTTTTGGAGTTGTTCATCTACAACAAGCACTGCAAACATCGCTGGGAGTGACGCCTTTGCAAACGACACGGGAAATGCACATTTGTCGGTGTTGTTCGTTTTTTCCTCCTAGGTGCATGCAAAGAGTGGGTCCTTAATATAGCTTGCACCCTACATCATGGTGCCGTTTTGCTTGCATTTGCCACAGTATGCCTTGGTGATTCACTACTGCGCCTTGCTCCAGTATGTGAGTCTTACTAGAATCATTTGGGTCTGTCATTTTTGAGGGGACTCTTTTCTGGTTGGCTTAAGAAAACACTGTAGACGGGATCCCCCGTTCTGACACATACCCATGTGGCTGTTACTTTTATTGCGAATTCTACAAACAGAATTCGACGGACATAAACATCCCAAGCGAATTCCCTGACTGTAACACAGCATATCCCGGATCCCCTTCAACTCCCTTCAACCCCCTCACCCCATCAAACCCCTCAACCCCCATCAACCCCCATCAACCCCTTCAACCCCCTCAACCCCCTCACCCACCCCCCCCTCTTTCGACTCACCTTTACTCTCAGCCGAGGCAGTGCTTCAATCGACGCCTGCCAGACCTCCCACAGAGTCTTCGGAGCCTGAGCTTCGGGAAGGCGAAGCCGAGCCTTGCTGTTCCTTTGGTTCAGCTGAAATCTTCACCGGAGCCAAGTGAACTGATTATCTTCCGTGGAAAAAAGGGAGTTTCAACCACCAAGCTGGAGAAAACACACATCCGGCTTGCCTCCGGTTGGCTCTGTCTTTTTTTAGGCGTCCCCTTTTGGAGTAGTTGTTTTTCTTCTTTTTCTGAGAAACCCAAAAGGACCACCGTTTTGGGGGGGGGGGGGGGGCGGCTTTTGGTCCGAATCCTCAAACCGACGAGCCACCCGATGGCTTGGCGTGAGCCTGGGAGGCCTTCAACCAGCCTCCGTCGCACCTGCCCACCGGCC